GAGAATACACCTCTTTCCCAAACAAGGATTTACAATGAGGAACTAATCATGTTGGCCTTCTCAGGAGTCAATAAAGGATATGTTGCAGTTTTATTGAATTTCAGCTTTCTGGTTTCACATAATTTTAGGATGAGGTCACCACATTGATTCCACCAAGTGCATTGGGAGCCAACCACTACGATACTCCAAGATCGCTCTTGGCTTTGCAGCCCTGCCCACAGCTGTTTCTTCCTTAGCAAACATCCCTGTCACTGTGTGTGTGTGGGGGGGGGGGAAATTAGCATTCGATAAGGAGATTTGGTCTTGCATTTGGCGCCCTTTTAGATCCAATCTCTCATACCCACCCACACAATCAATGAAGAGTTGATCTTTCCTTATGTCAGGTGGGTCAGCTCTCCTACTGTGTCCCTGACAAGGCAGTGGCCCACAGGGATGAAGCTGCTGACAGTCTCCACTCACTTAGAAGGGCTCACCTTCTCTACCGTTTAGTTCATTGAGGTTTCTTTGTATCCATACCTTGAAAAGAATAGTAATTTTTAACTACTTTGGCAGGAACAGCAGTCTTTTGCAACAATCTCCAAGTTAAGTAGGATGCTTAGTGTTAGTTTGGAGGTGGCTCTCTCGGCTTCGGGTTTTGTCCTTTGAGAAAAGGGCATACCTTGTCCTTCAACACGCTTCTGATTTTGTGTCGCCCTGTGTTTCTTTGCAGGAGGATTTTATGGATTCAGACAAAGAAGCCCCTATTGAATCCACCTTTGTCCGCATTAAAGAAACGCCTTCTGAGCAGGAGAGCACAGTCTTCTTTCTGGCTGAAAACGGGGAGCGTGCCTACACCGTGAACCATGAGACCAGCCACCCGCCACCCTCCAAAGTCTTTGTCTGTGACAAGCCTGAGAGCGTGAAGGAACCCTCCCTGGACGGCATTTCCAGCCGCCCGCTGTCAGTCAGCTCCACCGAGATCAGACAGCAGGTTACGGACCAGGACCTCCAGGGGGTCCCAGGTAAAACCTGCAGCTTCAGTGAGCCATCTCCGGAATCTTCCATCTTAGCCAGAAAGGACAACCACAGGTCCAATTCTTTGTCAATCAAGAAAACGGTACACTTTGAGGCTGACACCTATAAGGATGCTTCATGCAGCAAGGACCCTTTCCACAGTCAAGACTTTGGCTTCGAAGGGAGCCTGAGAGGGACGAAGGAGTTATTGAAGCAGGATGGACACGTCTTGGAGGTCACGGAGGAAAAGCCCAAACAGGAAGCCCCCAAGGTCCAAGAGTCAGCTCCCAGGAAGGCCCCGGGTGATGTTTGCTTGGCGGACAGTAAGCTCGGTCGTTCGCAGACTCCCCCCTGGAATGGGGCGTCGGAGCGCGCGGCCAGCCAGGGGGAAGAGAACCGTCCCCTTTCGCCCCTTGGAGAGGATACTGGGATGGCCGATTCCTTGGAGATCAAGGTCAAGCTGCAGACCGTGGACGCTCTGGACGAAGAGGACGATTTTGAAGGCATTCCGCTAAAAGCCTCCAAGTTTAACAGTGACCTAGTCGATTTTGCCACAACCAGCCAGGCCTTCAGTGAGGACCCTTCTGCTCCTGAGAAGAAGCCTGCCCAGGGCGAGGGTCCCGAGGAGCACGCCGAGAAACCGGGGAAACGCAGGAGTAAGTCTGCCCACAAAAAGGAAGATTCGGATGGGCCCCCGGGGGTGCCGGGGCAAGAAGACAAAGACTACTTTTTGGCGCCGGAGGAGGAGCCGGCGGATAAAAAGCCAGAGGTGTACGAAAAGGCCAAGTGCAAGTCCCCGCGTCGCGGGCGCGGCGAGGACGAGGCGGAGGCCGAAGCGCCCGGGGAGCTGGGCGCAGACCTGCCGCCCACGCCGCCCAGCAGCCGGGTGAGCCTGGAGACGCTGGGCAGCGGCAGCCACAGCGAGGAGGGCCTGGACTTCAAGCCCTCGCCGCCCCTCTCCAAGGTCTCCGTCATCCCCCACGACCTCTTCTACTACCCGCATTACGAGGTGCCCCTGGCCGCCGTGCTGGAGGCTTACGCCGAAGGCACGGAGGATTTTAAAAACGAAGAGATGGACTTTGAAGAGCCGGAGGACTTCCTGTACGACCTGGAGCCCAGAGACGACGCCGCCGAGGAGCCCGAGGAGCCCGAGGCCTCCGAGAGCAGCGGGAGCTTCTCGGGGCTGGGCGAGGACTTCCCCTACTCGGCCATGGAGGAGCCTGCTCCGGACAGGGCTGCCCAGGGGGCCAAACCGGCCTCGGAACCCGCTCCC